CTGCTCCTCAGGAGAAGGAGGAGGCTTGTTGTGAAAGGCCGTCAGCCCTGTACAGGGTTTCCGAGGATTTGAAACACCAGCCTTGTAATCCAATGCTTTTCCTACAGCACCACACCAGGACTTACTGCCCCTATAAAGATGTGCAGCCTCGGTTACCCTATATGAGTCAGAATGAACCTGGTAGCAGTGGATTGGCTGTGGGTACAAAAACCCAACAGAACTTAATGAAAATGAGAGCGTTCTGTGGGGACAGGTTGGCTCTGTGGGTTCACACTAATGAGTACTGTATATTATTGTATATTACGTTATTACTTGGGAAGTGTGTGGGAAAAGTCTTTAAACCAGACTCATTTGACATCCAGTCAGTTCCACTACTTAGAGCAACCCTGTGGGATAGAGTAGAACCCCCCCCCCCAACACACACACACGGCTCCCAAGGGTGTCAGCCCTGTAACAACAGATTGCCACATCTTTCTCCGGCGGAGTGACTGGTGGGTTCGAACCGCCCACCCACTTTTCAGTTGGCAGCTGAGCGCTTCACCTCTGTGCCACTAGGGCCCCTTGAGTTGTGTGTTGGTGTCAGTGGCATTTGTGGTCCCCATAAGTTCCCGTATTTATGTGTCTGGCCCTGTCGTGAGCTCATGTCTAAGTCAGGAGTACACCCCAGCTCACAGAGGGGCACCCAGCTTCCTTCTCTGAACAGCTGGGTGTTGGAGCAGCACCTGGATCTGCCACTTGGGTGCACCCCTTTCAGATGGAGATTAGGGTCTTGAGGGCCCGAGAGAGGCCTCAGAACTTGCATTTCTCACAGGTCCCTTACCCCAGGGCGACACCAAACCAGACCAGGTCCCTGGCCTCAGGGAGCGTGATCTGAATGGAGGGCCCTGAGGCTGGCGGTGCAGAGGGGGCCAGGCAGAGGCAGCAACAGAGACTTAACAGCTTACCCCAGGGATAGGAGTCCTTGCTGGATGTTTCAGGGGGCAGGCGGAGAGGGGGATTCCATCCCAGGACACACTTGGGCACACTTGGCAGGGGAGTGGTTTCAGGGTGAGGGAGGAAGGGACATAGAGTCTTACTCAACCCTGTGATTCCCGAAGGGATCTTGTTTAGGACTGAGGACTGCTTTCTGTGGGAAAGTGAGTATTACTCATCCTCAGGAGAGCCGCTGGGGAACCCGGGGGGTAGAGGGCTGTGTGGACTGAGGGGGGGTGGGGGGGGAACTTGGCCCTTCGCCTGAGACCAGGAACCACTGTTTTTTCAGTCTTGGCCAGGAGGGGGAAGTGAGCCCTTTGTGGTCCTCGAACACTGCCTCCTTTGTGTGTCCAGAGCCGCCGGTGGCTTTAGAGTGGTGGGCCGTGTCCCAGGGCTGTGTGTGCAGAGGCCCAGCTGCTGGGCCAGCCGGGTTGGAGGCTGCAGAGCTGGGGGCCCGCTTGCTCCGTGGCACACTTGACCTCTCTGGTTTTGGTGAGTGGGGTCTGAAGTAGCCCCAGCCGAGGACCCTTCCCCAACGTGACTGCTTCCAGATGGAGGTATGAGGGTGGCTCCCGGAGCCCGTCTGGGTCCCTCTGTGGAAGGACTACAGCAGCACATGAATGTCCGGCCAGTCCTCCTGCTCCAGATGCACACTGTGGTCCCAGAGAAGGGGAGGGAGACCACCGGAGGGCCAGGCGCTGCCCATGGAACATGCAAGAGGAAGTAGTCAGTTATCTGGTGGGAGTGTGGTCCCAGCCACACTGGGCCGGGCAGGAAGGGCTGGGCAGGAGACAGGGAAAGAGGTCAATCTGACAGAGTGACCGGTGCCATTGGAGGTGGACTTGCAGGAAGTTTCTGTTAGTCATGCGTTGCCCAGTGGAGGGGCCAGGAGCACGGGCTCAGGAGTTGGGGCTCCCTTCCCATGGGTGGGTAGATGTGGGGTGGTGGCCGGATGGAAGAGGGAAGGGGCCGCGGTAGCAGAAGGGAGAACACAGGGAGGGTCTTCTAGGAGGATGCCCATGGACACTGGCCCGGGAGCCCGGTAGGAGAACTCCACATAGGGCTCAGCCTTAGGTGGGGTCCAGCCTGTAACAAGGAATCCAGTGTCCTTGTCTGTGAGTTGGGGGCTCTCCATGAAGGGGTGTCACGTAGACTGGGCCGGGAAGGAGCGCAGCTTAGACGTGCCCATCCAGGGTGAAGATTTTAGGGTGATGCTGCGCTCTGGTCCCCTGTCCGTCCCTAGCACCAGCAGTCTTGCCTATCCCAGGGTGAGGAGCGGGCTCTGAGTCTCCCTTGTTGGAGTGGGCAGTGTGTTTGGAGGTCCTTGGCACTTGCTCCTTCCTGAGGGCCAGTGGAGGTAGCAGGGCAGGAAGCTCTGTGGTTTGGGCAGGTTTGGTGGCTGCAGGCACAGCCAACATCCAGCTGGTGGCCCTACACAGTACTTGTGTCCCATGACGACACGCCTTTGCTGGCCGGAGGTGAGGCCGGAGGGCCGCCCAGAGCCTGAGCCAGCGGTGCACCAGGCTTGCCCTGGGGTATGCCGACTGAAGAGTGAGTGGTTGGGACCCTGTGCCCGCTGGTTTGTCCTTCCTCCCTCCCTTCATGGGGCCCTCAGTGAGGGGATTGTTCTGGTCTCTGGGATAGTAAGGAGATTAGGTAGCGTAGTGGTTACGAATCAGTCTGCGAACCGCAAGGTCAGCAGTTCTAAACTACCAGCTGTTACATGGGAGAAAGATGAGGCTTTCTACTCCTGTAAAGATTTATAGCTTCGGAAACCCTGTATAGGGTCACTATGAGTCGGAACCGATTCCACGACACATAGCCACCACCACCACATTCCCTGAAGTTGCTTATTTTTATTTTCACAAGCAGAAAAGCAAGAGGAAAGCATTGTGGGAAATTTGGAAGTACCTACGAGACTCGATGGCACTTAATAACAAGGCTGTGGGCTTCAGAAAGTTCATTGAAAAATTATGTTCGATTTTTCCATTTTTTCCACACAATTTTTAAATTACACTTTGAATTTTTATCCTTTAAAATAAAAGGCTGTGTTGTTGAGGGACCATCAAGTCGGTCCCGCCTCACAGTGACCCTGTAGAGGGTTTCCAAGGAGCGCCTGGTGGATTTGAACTGCCAACTTTATAGTTTACAGTCCAGTGCTTATATTAAAATTTCCTTCTTTTCAATTAGGTTATTTCAAGTGTTTCCATATTACAAACAAACTGTTTTTGTTAAATGCCGAGGAGTAAGTTCCCACTAATAGTAACCCTGTATAGGGTTTCTGAGAAGTGGCTAGTGAGGTTGAACTGCCAACCTTGTGGTTCAAATCCACCATGTAGTCCAGTGCTTATCCTAGAGTGCCACACCAGGTCTCCATTAAAAACAAATAGTATTAGGAAAAAGGTACAAAGCACAGAATTGATCAGAGAGAAGATTTACACATTTAACAACATAAAAATGGGAAGCTTTTGTGGCACTGTAGGATCATCACAGAACTGCAAAACCACAAAGTCAAAGGTTCAAACCCACCAGCTGCTCCTTGGAAAAATCTCTATAATGTAACCTTGGACAGCAACTTTAAAACCACCTTAACTCAATACATTCACCTCTGTTCTGTTAAATGTGGTCGTCTGCGCACATATGGTTCCGTTAAGCTTTATTTGCAAAATTGAGAGATTGGAAAAAATTTTTTAAATAATATTGAAAATAGCTTCTGGGAATGCCGTTTTACACAGGTACAGATAAAAGTCCCAGGAACCATACCTGTGGATCTCAGAGTCAAAGAGCTGGTCTGTTTAAGACAGAAATAGTGGCTGCCAAGCTGCCTCCCTAAAAGTCTGCGTCACTTTAATACCCATCTGAGAGTTTTGGGCAACTCTCCCAATATTGTTAGGTGTCTGACTTTCCGATGCACAACAGAACGAAACACTGCCAAGTTCTGCACTGCCCTCATGATTGTTACGTTAGAGCCCATTGTTGCTTCAAAGATTGCTCTCCAGATTGGATATTATTAATCTTACTGACTTTGCCAGTTTTATAGATGAAAAGAATCTGATTGTTTGAACCTGCATTTTCCTGATTGCTAACGAGCATTTCCTATTGTTTGTGGATTTGCTACTTTGTTTCCTCTTGTGACCCTGTGGAGTTTTAGACGTTTCCAACCATGGCATCCACGTGGTCACACTTGAAACAGACTTTGTCGTGTTCTCAGGAGTTCACTGGGAATGTGCGTGGGCAGTGGCGTTGCTCCTGGGGGGCACGTTCTGAGCATTTTCACGCATGTGACGGCGGTCTCCACATTCTGAGTTTGTTCCTACGATGGTGCCTCAAAGGGCAGGACCGCTGTTAAAGCCCATATCCTCATGCTGGTCATTCTGCGTGCATCTGGCTGTGTGATTTAAGGCTTTTGCACATGGTGGCGGTGTTGTTAAGGAGCCCGGATGGTGCTGTGGGTTAGGCTGCTAGCTGCAGGATCAGTGGTTCAAACCTCCCAGCCACTCTGAGAGAGAAAGATGAGACTGTCAGCCCTTTAAAGATTTTGTCTTAGAAACCTTTGAGTTGGAATCATCTCCATGACAGTAAGTTTTTGGTGGTAGGTGGTGGTGTTGGGTGCAGCCACCTGGATTCCGACTCATAGCAACCCCACGTGTGACAGTGTAGAGCCGCTTCATAGGGCTTTATTGATTGTTACCTTCATGGAATCAGATCACCAGGACTTTCTTCTGAGGTACTTACTGCTGGGTGATTTCCCTGTGCTGGCAGCTGAGGAGTGTAAACTGTTGGGGTCACCAAGGATCTGATGTGTGTGTGTGTGGGATTTCTTTGTTCATTCATGGCCTAAGGTTTTATCAGTTAATTCAAATTGTTTATTAACCTTCATATAACATAATTGCTGCAAGTATTCCCTATACCGCGGTGTGGTTTCTGTTAAAATGAGGAAATGTGTACGTAGGGATGAAGCGGTTTGGTTTGGTGGGAGGCAGGTGGGTGGGTGTGTGACCACATCCCCTTCTCGCCTCTCCAGGGACCCCTACCGTCATGTTAAGGTGAAGCCCGGGGGTCCAGTGCTGAACATGCTAAGGAGGCTGGACAGAATCCGCTTCAGAGGTCACAAACGAGAGGATTTTCCCGACCTGGCGGAATCGCCCAATGCCTCGGACACTGAGTGTGGAGACGAACTTCCCCCGAAGATCGCCCGGACCGTGCCACCCCGAGACAGCGAAGAGCTGAGGGACCCTGTGAGTGCCCTGCGCCGGCTGCCAGACCTGGTCTTGGGTCTGGTCTGGGTGGGTGTGAAGGTGTTGGCTGCCCAGCTTGGACTCTGCACCCTATCCTTCTGGTGGAGGTGAGGGATGGGGCCATCCCTTTTCTGGATACCAGGGGAGCATGATCCTCTTAGGATCTCTTCCTGTCCAACTGGAGAGGCAGACAGACAGACAGACATGGAGTTTGCACCACCTTTTTGTGACCCCCCTCGTCTGTCCCCAACTCCTACAAAGCACATGGAGGATTCAGCCCTGGCTGAGGGTGGATCCCATATTGGGCAGATAGCAGGCCTATTCTGGTCTGACCCTGGGTGCCTTGATGGGGGTGCTACCCCCCCCATCTACCATCAGGTGCCAGGGTGTGTATTACTGACCCCTCGCCAACCCCGTGGCATTTGCCGGCCTTGAGCAGTGGGGTGCCCTTCCTTGGCCAGCCTGCATGCATTGGGCACTTCTGAGCACAGCGGTCCCCACCTTCCAGAAATTTGCAGAAATCAATGGGGCACTGATGGGAGCCTTGTTGTGGCCCTCCTCTGGCTCAGCATTGAGCCCCCATTATCAGTGAGGCCCAGTCAGCCTCCTGCAGGCTGTGAGCAGCCCTCAGGATGTGGCTGTGGATGTGTCCTTGGGCTTGTGTTATGGATGCCTCTAACAGTGTGGTCGGACTGTCTGTCTGGAAGGGGGGATGAATGATTGACGGCTGCCTCGCAGCCGCCCCTTTCCCTCTGCAGGGCACGGACTTGCTCTGCCATCCTCTGGTGGGCCCACCTGCAGAGTCTCCTGATGCGGCCTCTGGTGGTGAGACTGGATGGTGGTGGGGGTCTGGAGAATAAAGGTCCCACATGCGGAGGCCATCTCAGCGGGGCAGGGCAGGACCACAGTAGTGTGGTTTCTTCCTGTCTCTATGCTCTGTCTGTCTGTCTGTCCAGTTAGGGTGCCATGGGGCCCTGGCTCTGAGCATGGTCAGCTGTCCCCGATGCTTGTGGTCATCAGGGATGTAAGGCAGGTGTGGGAGAGGGGGACAGTGGGATTTGACAGGTACCAGCTGTGAGGCTGTGGGCACGTTGCCCAATCTGGGGGTGGGGGGCTTGTGTGCAGGACACTGACATTGCTGTAGAAGGTCTTGGGTGCCTACAGAGGACCAGTGGACAAACCTCGTCAGGGGCTTGGGGACACTTCCTGAGGTGGGACACAGCTGAGTGGAGGCTGCACTGCCCATCCCAGGTGGGCAGCCCCGGCAAGCTGGGGGATGGTGAGGTTTGGAGGTGGTTCTGAGATGGAGGGAACCTCAGACCTGCACCTCCTGGCCTCCTCTCTGCTCGGATCTAGTTCACAAGGGTTCTCTGCCCACCTCCCACCAGCCCATTCCTGTGAATGGAGACTAGGATGTCATGTTCACCTGGGGACACTGGTCTGCAGTGTCCTAGCTCCCACCAAGATGAGGCGAGTGCTGTCTGGGTGGAGGTACTGGGGGGGTGGGAACATCCAGGCTGAGGAAGGGGTGCAGGGATCACCCCTGGGTGTCTGGTGGAGGGTGGAGAGGAACTGCAGGATCAAGGGGTCTTGACCTACCAGAGAGACCTGCATTTGGTGGGCATGGGAGGGGCTGGTACAGTCCCTAGGTGGGAGGTAGTGGGGTGTCCGTGTAAGAGCTGGCTGCTCTAGGGGTTTGTTGGAGAGTGGTCTGGAGGTGGAGCTAACGTGGGTGGGCTCCCTTGGTGGGGCACCAGTGGAGTGGATGGAGGCACCCAGTATGCAGCAGGAAGTGGCTGCTGGGGGATGGGTTGGGGGAAGGCATGCAGAGGGTGGTGGGAGGGGGAAGGGATTTCGGGGAAGGCCCGTCCATGCCTCAGTGTGTGTGTGTGTGTGGGTGTGTGCAGGTGTCAGATCCCTGAACAGGTCAGGTCCTGGGGTGCGGTGTTGGGGAGGGAGGACTGGTACATTTCTCTCTTGCTGAAGGAGACCGTGGTCAGAGAGTGAACTGTCCTTTCCTGCACAGGATGGGGAAGGAGAGGGAAAGTAAGGCAGGACCCTTCCCAAATAGGTCAGCTTGGAGGGGCACAGACCCTCCCTGAGCTGGGGACCCACTGCATAAAAAGACCCCAGCAACCCTTTGACCATTTTAACCTGAGCCTCAGCTCCCTTAATTTGAAAGGGGGTGGTGATGTTGTCTACAGAGTGCTCAGCCGGCACCTCGAGCAGGTGGCTGTAATTATTAATGACAATGAAATATTGATGACTAAAACCCTGCTCCCGGCTGCAGGCCACCCCTTACGAAGCCGTCTCATTGTAGCTCTTAGCATCTGCCCTTCCCTCTCCACGCTGGCCAGGGTCACGGGTCCCACATGGAAGCCAGAGAGGCAGGGCACACAGTAGGCTCGCTCCCACACCTGGACCACCCTCCCATCCTTTCCTGGGGCAACTGCTCCCCCACCTGGGCAGGTTCCTGTGGGGGAGGGGGGGTGACAACATGACTGTGTTGTGTGAGGTTTTGTCTCAGTGTTGTTGAAATGTAGCTCACATCCTACACAAGTCACCCTTTCAACCCTCACAGTTCAGGCTTGTTTAGCTATTGCCACGATCAGTTCTTGAACCTTTTCACCAGCCCAGAAAGAAACCCCACACTTATTAGCAGTCACTTCCCATCGCCCAGCCCCTGGCAACCACTGGTCTGCTCTGTTTCTAAGGGTTTGTTCAATCTGGACGCTTCATGGCCTTCATGTCTGGCTTCCTTTCTCTCAGTACTTCGTTTTCAAGTCCGACTGTGTTGTGTCCTGTGGTGTTGGGTCCAGTTCCCTTACTGCTGATGACATTCCATTGTGTGTACACACCACATTTTGGTTGCCCACTTATCTGTTGGATGGCTATTTGGGTGGTGCCCCCTTTGGTCTGTTATGGATAGTACAGCCTACATTATGGACAAATTTCCGTGGGAATGACCATCTCCATTTCTCCAGGGAATAAACCCCACAGTGAAATTGCTGGGTTACACGGTTAGTTTAACTGTGTGAGGAACGGCCGGGTAGGGGGCTCCTCTGATTTTTTAGAACACAGAGGGATCTAGCTTTGTCCTGCACCCAATTTCTCAGACTTTTTCCTCCAAGTGGAATACAGGGAGGGAGAGACCCCCTGTGACGCCTGGGTTGGTATCACCCCGCCCTGGTAGGTGGAGCAGCCCAGCCCAAACACCCCCACCCCATTCCCCACGGGGCTGAGCACCCTGCCCCTCTCCCAGCCCCACCCCATGGCTACCTGCAGCTCCTCCCCTTTCCCACGGGCTGACCTGACATGGAGACCCTGCCCAATGCCATTGTTAGTGATGCCGCTGCCTTCGGGGCCCCTTCCCCTGCCAGGCCAGTTTTGGTGTCACCCTGAACCCCCTAGTGATGCACTGCAGCGGGGTCCCCGTCTTTCATCTGACCCCTCCCTGCTAGGTCTCCTGGTCTGCTGTTACAAAGCCTCACCACACTGGACGGCCAGAAAGCACTGGAAAGTCTGTCTGTGTCCACTTCCGGGTCTGGGCATGTTGTGGGTGGCACACTTCCCGTGTGCATCCGCCCTCTCTTTCACAAAATACCACGCAGAGGAATTAGGGTTAGGACCCACCTTTCGCTGATAGCATGGCGTCCTGGTAGCACAGGGATTAAGCGCTAGGTTGGCACCGTATGCTCCTCAGGAGCAAGAAGGGGCAGTCCGCTTCTGCAGAGACAGCCTCGGAGACCCCGTGGGGCAGTTCTCTGTCCTACAGAGTCCCTGTGAGTCAGAATCCCCTCCAGGACCCCAGGTTGGACTCTGATATGGCCTGATTAGCATGGCAGAGCAAACCCCATTTCCATACAGGGTCTTCGTTTGGGCTTCGTTCTGCCTCCTTTTTGTCCCTGTGTTCCTGTTGGGAGTGAGACCAGGCTGGACTGGGAGGTGAGAGTAGGGAGGGGGCCAGGGGCAGAGGAGGGGGGTCCTGTGTTGGCAGGTGGTCGACAGGCAGGGTAGTCAGACTGACATCTTTGCTCTTGAGCGCCTTAGAGAGGCCTTGTGCAGCAGATTGACCTAATGTAAATTACTTTTGATTTCTTGACTGCTGCTTCTATGAGTGTTGACAGTGGATCCCAGCAAAATGAAGTTTTTGACAACTTCAATCTTTTCTCCGTTTATCCTGATGCTATTTATTGGTCCAGGTGTGAGGATTTTTGGTTTCTTTACATTGAAGGTGCAACCCTTACTGAAGACTGGAGTCTTTGATCTTCATCAGTAAATATATCCACGTCCTCTTTGCTTTCAGCAAGCAGGGTTATGCCATCTGTATATCGCAGGTTGTTAATGAGTCTTCCTCCAATCCTGATGGCTACATTCTTCTGCATAGAACCCAGCTTCTCAGGTTATTTGCTCAGCATACGGACTGAACTACTACGGGGAAAGACTGCAACCTGGCAGACATCTTTCCTGTTTCTAGACCATTCAGCGTCCCCTTGTTGTTTGGAGGACTGCCTTTCGGTCTCTGTACAGGTTCCTCCTGAACACAATTGAGTGTGCTGGAAAACCTGTTCTTTGCAGTGTTATCCGTAGGTTTGTCGTGGTTTACATAATCAAAAGCCTTGCATAGTCAGTAAAGCACAGGTAAACATCTTGACTCAACACAGAAGGCCCACTTTTTCCTGAGACCTTGGTCTGCAAGTGACAGAGGGGTTCAGCTCAAGCATCATGGGAAAGGGGGAGAGGGTGTGGTAAGAGAGCAAGCCAGCGGCAGGGGAGGGGAAATGCAGGTGGAGGTCTAGTGGAGTTGGTCAGTGAGGGTGACGGGACCAGGGAGCTGGGCTCTGGCCAGGAGGGAGGGTGGCTCATCAGCCCCAGGCCCCCTGCTCACTTGCCTCTCCCTCTGGGTCAAATCCATTGATGTCAAATCTACTCTGAGTCATTGTGACTTGTATGTGTCAGAGTGGAGCCCAGGTCGGACCCACACCTGCTGCGGGAGTCCTGCTGGACTGGACGCTTCTGGTACCTGCTGTCCATGTGTGCCCCGTCTTGACTGCCTGTCTACGGCAGGGGGGACCCCTGAGTTTCCAGTCACTTCCTCCCTTTGGGTACCCCCTCTAGTGGCTGTCAGGCGGAATGACCTGCCTTCCAGCTCTGTTCTACTGCTTAAGGACTGCCCCTGCCCGGAGTACCTGGGGACCACAGCCTCTGGGAGCTCAGGTCCAGGATTGGATCAGGTAGCTGAAAGTCCCTAAGTTCAAAGGCCCCAAACCTGCTCTTGCCCAAGACTGCTCTGTCTTTGGCAGTAACCTCAGGCTGGATCTGGGGCGCGGCTCCAGGTCAAGCCTCCACCAGCGCACACGGGACGGGATTAGGTGCACCTTCCGGGCAATGACAACAGCACTGTCGTGGGGCCGAGAGTTTGTCAGCACCCCGGCCTGGACACAGCTGGGGGGGGAGGGGGGGCTGTAATGGAGTGGCCCTGCGACACGTGCCGTGGCCTCTGGTGAAGAAGGGAAGGACTGTGTATGTTTTGGTCACTTCAGACCTCAGGGTCCTGACCCCTCCCCTGCTCCCCTGTACTCCAGCCCTCCCAGGGACAAGAGCTCCTGTCCCTGCAGTTCCCAGGACTTGGAGCTCAGCCCCACGGATGTGAGGGAAATAGCGTCTGGTCTTGTACACGTCCACGCCCACCCACCTCACAGATTTCTCGGTGTGTGTCTCTGCAGTCCCCAGGCCCGCTGAGGTGCAGCTGACACCTCAGAACCAAGCTGGTCACAACCACGAGGTGTAGCCTCGAGCTTGTGCCTTAAATACTTGATGCTTTTTTCATCCTCCTCCCAGTGACGGCAGGCTGTCTGAGGGGTCTGAGTTGTTCCTGCTGCCCGCAGGTGGTGCTGGGGTAATGTGTGGGTTCCTGCAGATGTTCCCCACCCACCACCTTGGGCCCACCACCCCTGAGGGAGGAGGGGGGCTGGACAGGCCGCCTCTGAGCACCCAGTGTTCTCTTGCAGGCCGGCCCGGGGACCCTCATCATGGCCACAGGGGTCCAGGACTTCAACAGGACAGAGTCTGACCGGCTGAACGAGATCAAAGGCCACCTAGAAATCGCCCTGCTGGAGAAGCACTTTCTCCGTAAGTACCCCGAGGATGGGGACGGGGACAAAAAGTGGTCGGATGGACCCATCAGTGGGGTATCCTCAGGCAGCCTGCTGCCTCCTGACCTGTGGGGGCCATTGCTTTGGTAGGAAGGGGACGATAAGGTGTTCCAAACAGTTCCAGTGGTCTCGGTGAAGCTGGGGCGTGTGTGCTGGCCACAGCTGGCTCAGAACCTTCTGCATCTCTCCGTTGCTCTCAGATGAGCAGGGAGGAGGGAGAGTGGGGGCTCTGCCATCTGCTTTCTCACATGCTGGGTCCTGTATCTCCGCTGCCTGGGCCCATGGCTGTGGTGGTGTCTACAGGAGACTGTTCCAGAAGGGCCTGTGGAGCACGTGGCTTGTGCTCAGCTTTGGTCCCTTCAGTCACCCTCTGCGCCCTTGAGGCTCACTGGGACAGTCTTGATGTTCAGGGGTTGAAGCCATGAAGTGTCTGGTGACACCTAAGAGTGTTGTGAAGTTCTGCCCTGGACTGACAGGAAGGGATTGGGCCACCTGGCTGTAGACCTGGCCACTTGGAGCTGGGTGTGTGTTGTTGTTAGGTACTGTTGAGTCAGTTCCGACCCATATCGACCCTGTATAGGGTTTCCAAGGAGCGACTAGTGAGCTTGAGCCACCAACCTTGTGGTTCAAACCGATTTTGTAGTCCAGTGCGTTAACCCCCAGCGCCACACCAGGACTTGTGTGTGTGTGTGTGTGTTAGGAGGTATTACGCTGTAGCAGTGGGGTCCTAGGAGCCTGCAGGGTCTCTGCGTGACTGTACGGGCAGCTCCTCTGGCTGGGTAACTCAACCAGGCTGGCGGAAGCATGTGCTCCACTGGGTCTGCCGGCCTGGCCGCTGTCCATCCAGTCTCTCTGAGCCTTCCCATGGGATTTTCCCAAACGTCCTGGAGAGGCACAGCCACCATTGCAGCGTGATCCTGGGAGAGGGGCGGGGCTCCCCAGCACATGGCAGGAGCCCTGGGTGGGGAGGGGCATCTAGGGGGGTGGGGTTCCCCAGAACACATGGCAGGAGCCCTGGGGAGGAGGGGGCTACTAGGGAATGGGTTCCCAGAAAGCATGGAGCAGGAGCCCTGAACAGGGGGTGGGGGACCTCCAGAGGAAGGGGTTCCCTGCCAGCAGGAGCCTTGAGGGGGAGGCAACCTCTAGGGGGAGGAGTTCTCTGGCTGGAGACAGGCTGACAAGGACCTCAGGTCACTTGAGGTGGCCTTCTGCTGCTCCGGACACCCTGCCCTCGTCCAGTCACTGAACTCTTGTGAAGCTGACCTCGACAGCCAGGGAGGCAGACGGCGTTCGCTGTGAACGCTCGGGCTCTTGACTAATCTCTACAAGGAGACCACTAATCTCTACAAGGAGACCACTAAGTCCTTCTTTTTGTGGTCTTACTCTGGAGGCTTCACTAAAGCCTGCCCACCGGGGGTGACCCTCCTGGTATTTGAAACACTGGTGGCCACACTTCCAGCGTCCAGCGGCACACAAGCCACCACAGTGGGACAAACGGACAGACCATTTCATTAGAGGCCGAGAGTGGTCGGTTTCTGCTTTTGCCTTTGTGTCTCCGTTTGCTACCTGACATATTTCTTTATTCCCCCAAATTTATTTTTGTGAACTGAGTGAAGACTTAACAAAGCAGATTATGAATTTGACAGTCAACAGATCAAACACTTTGCTTCATCTCAAGGCGTGCTGTCCCCTCCAAGCAATGAGAGTCATCCCGCTTCTGACTTCCATTCCACCCACCCTCCCATCCCTTCTCGACTCTGTACCTGACTATTTCTGAAAACCAATTTCCCTCCATCAACTCCTCGACCACCCTGAATGGAGCTCATAGAAACAGTCAGAAGCATGCTGACTCTCATCTGTTGTTTTCCAGTTTGCAAAATACTGCGCCAAAGGAGATGAGTGAGGGTCTTGTGATTTAAAGTTCATGTTTGGTTTCATCATGAAATCGTGCGTTTCGCCATGCTTGCTGTGTTATGGTCACCTGGTTGTTGTCTTCTTGAGTCTCACCCTGGGGTCTGAGAGAGCCCTGCTTTTCCATGTGGTAAGGCATCCTGGGTTCATCCTCACCATTTCTTCCCGCAGATCTGGCATTAACCATTTCTCCAAAGAGCTCCGCTTCCTTTGGTGGAAAACTGTGTGCAGAGGCCCTCGCTGCTGCAGGCTGCTCATGGTTTATAGGCCTCTTCAGTGGATGGGGCTGGGGCGCCGTTTGCCCAGGCAGAGGATTCAAATTCACATCCGGAACCATGGGGAGTCCCCTCACCCCACCAGGCGTCTCTCTCCCCCCTCATGCTGAGAATCCTGGTTCTTACTGAGTGTTAGCAACAGCTACTGCTTTGTTGTAATGACATAACCGCGCCCACTACAGTCTCAGAACGAAGCCCCAGCCCTGCTCTCAACAAGAGGATTATGAACAGCTGGATTTGTTTAGTTCCTGTTCTGTCCTCGGCCTTCTCACGGAGGAAGCAGTCACGTTATTGTGCTATAGCTCACTGGATTTCGATTGTGTGGATCATGGCAAGCTGTGGACAACATTGCGAAGTATGAATATTCTGGAACTCTTAATTGTGCTGATGAGGAATCTGTACATGAACCAAGAAGCAGTTGTTCGACCAAAACATGGGAACATTGAATGGTCTAAAGTTAGGAAAGGTGTGAGACAGGGTTGTATTCTTTCACTATACTTATTCAACCTGTATGCTGAACAGATAATCTGAGAAGCTGGGTTATGTGAAGAAAAACGTGGCATCAGGATTGGAGGAAGACTCATTAACAACCTGCAATATGCAGATAATACAACCTTGCTTGCTGAAAGTGAAGAGGACTTAAAATATTTACTGATGAAGATCAAAGAGCACAGGCATTGATAATGTAATGAATATCAATGTAAAGGGAAAAAAAATTCTCACCACTGACCAATAAACAACATTCTTATCAATGGAGAAAAGATTGAAGTTGTCAAGGACTTCATTCTTCTTGGATCAACTATCAACACTCGCGGAAGCAGCAGTTAAGAGATCAGACGACGTATTGCATTG